CGAAAATTTAAAAATGGAAAAATGGATAAATCGTAAGTTAAAACAATCGAAAAATTGAAAAATCGAAGATTTAAAAATTCGAAAAATTGAAAAATTAATATACATACTATATAAGAAATGAAAACTCGAGAAATCTAGAATTTAAAAAATTGAAAAATTTAAATATCAAAAAGCTGAAAAATTGAGAAATCGAAAAATAAAACAATCGAAAAATTGAAAAATCTAAAGTGCAAAAAACGAAAAATTGAAAATCTAAAAAATCTAAAATTGTAGAAGTCGGAAGATCGTAAAGTCTGAGAAACGAAATATTGGAAAATTAAAAAATTGAGAAATCGGAAAACCAAAAAAAGTCAAAAAACCGAAGAATTGAAGAACTAAAATTCGAAATTTGGACAAGTGATGAAATGGGAAATCAAAAATAGATTAATTGAAAAATCGGAAAACTGAAAATTTAGTAACGTCAAAATTTGAAAAAATAGAAATACTGAAGAATTGAAAAATGAAAAAATTAAGAAATCGAAAAACCTAAAATTCAAAACACTGAATAATTAAAATATCGCAAAATTGATAAATCGGGAAATCTAAACATCAAAAAATCACAAAAAAAAATTCGAAAATCTAAAATTTCAAAATCGAAAAACTGAAAAATCGACAAATCAGGAAATCAAAAATTGAGTTCAATTCATTCAATTTAAAATCGCAACTCCAGAATTTAAAAATTGAAAAACTTAAAATCGAATATCTGAAATATCGAAACATCGAAAAATTGGAAAAAAGACACATTGAAAAGCCCAAAAATAAAAATTGGCAAAACTGAAAAACCTAGAAATCCAAAAACCGAAACATCAAAAAATCTAGAATTGAGACATTGAGAAATCGAAAAATCAGGGGATTGAGAAATCGAAGAGTCGAAACCCTAGAAGAAAAGTTAAAAATTGAAAAATTGATGAATAAAGAAATTGAGGGATCGGAACATTGAAACATCTGAACTCGATAAATTGAGAAATCAAAAATTGAAAAATCGAAAAATTTGTAAAAATAATAATTGGAAAATGGAAAATTTAAAAATTCGGAAAATTGAAAAAGTGAAATACCGAAAAGTTGAAAATGTGGGAATCGAAATATAAAACAGTCGAAAACTTGAAAATCCAAAAAGTGAAAAATCGAGAAATCAAAAGAGCCAGGTGTTCACAATAGAATAGTCGAAAAATCAAAATACTGAAAAATCCCAAAACTGAAAGAAATATCCAAAAAATTGAGAAATAAAAAAATTGGAAAATTGTGAAATCGAACAACTAAGTAAACATAGTCGAAAAATCTTAAGCTTAAAAAATCGAAAAATTAAAAAGTCAAAAGCCTGAAAAATAGAAAAATTGAAGAATTGCAGAAGTGAAAATTCGAACCTTTGGGAAGTCGGGAAACGGAAAATTAAAAAAAAAGATTACTTCAGGAATCGGAAAACAGAAAATTTAGAAACATCAAAACTTTAAGAAATTGAAAATTCGAAATATTTAAAAATCGTAAAATTGAAGAGGACAAAAATTGAGAAAACGTATCATCAGAAAATTGAGAAATCGAAAAACAAAAATCCGAGGAACCGAAATTTTGAAGAATGGACAAACTGAAATATTGAAAAATTTAAACATCTAAATTTGAAAAATCGAGAAATCGAAAACAAGAAAAATCTCAATAACGCATTTATAAACTACAATTTCAGGACTATGTTGCTTTTTAACATTTAAATAACATTTATTCAACAAAATTTTAAGATGACATCATTAAGTCCTGGAAAGTATCAATCGATAAATCTTGACTAACGATTTAGTATGCTTCCAAGAACTATAAATTGGAAAATGTTGTTGATTTTTTTCCAAAAATTTTGACGTCTAAGGTAAAAACTCAGCACGGACTCATAAACCATAAACGAAGGATATAAAATTTAAATTACGTCTTCTGTTGTAAAATTTGGGTATTACGTCATTTCATTGTTGGTAGCAAATTTTGGTGAGCGTTTTACCATTTGATAATACAATTTGAAATGTAAATTTTGCCATTCTTCAACTTTGTTCACTTATAGACAAATCGCTTAGAGTCGATATTGGCCTGAGTGCGCCCTGGTCTGCAGATCAAATAAGTTCTGAGGCGACAAGTTGTAAATGTTGCTACGTATTCTAATCAGTAGAAGTTGATTAAAACTAATACTTATGTAGTGGCGTGTAATAAAAGAGTTTCTCAGTTCTTTGAACAGATGTTTCGAATATATTTATTCTGCAACAGAGTTTTCGCCTTTAAATATTTCCTAGATCTTAATTCTGTAAAACTACTTATTGACAACAGAGCACGAGTGTTTGCACATTTGCTTAGTTACAAGAAATTATTAAGTTATTATTTACATTCACGTTTTTTTTAAGGTTTGTTCCATGTGTAAGTTGTGTTAAGTGTGTTTTAATTATTGACTTACGAGTGCTAATGCTCTAAAACAACAAAACAATAAAATCTATTTTTACAGATCAGTACATATGCTTTTTAATGGTGCTATGGTTTACATTTACACAATATTTCCACACATGGTCAGCGCAGTGTCATAAGGTAAAAAGGAACATACATCAAGTTAACTAATTTAATGTTGTTTTTCAATGAAAGGGTGAGATAAAGACTGAATCTGTAGACATACACACAAATTATCGATTAGATGTAGAAATTTGGCATGATTTATTAACATAAATATTATTGAAATTAAGTTTAGAACAGCATCGAAGCCCATCAACAAAAAATGGAATAAGCATGGTTTAGGTTTAGGTAATTTACCGAAAAAAAAAATAGCGTAGTCTTGAAGATAAAATTTCCGTTAAATGGAGAATTTAAAATTCGCGCAAAGTTTTTTCATACGTGTAACGATTTTGAAACAGTTTAATTGGTCTGTGCACATTCTGATTATTAAATTAAATTAAATCATTACCTAAAGTCAGTAAGGAATTATGATTTTGCAGTTGCTTATCTTTTTTTCTGTATATAAATGTAGCGTCATATTGTTCCGGCATGTTATAATCCGATTTTAACTTCTTTTTAAAACCTTCGCCATTAAGGATATTATTTATCGCATCCAAAAATAGCTTTCTTCAATGAAAAGTATTTAAGAGCTTGTAAACTAAAAACACCCTAATGAGTGTTGACGCCTCTTTTCCCTCCCTCGTTTTCCAATTATAGCTCGAAATACATAATATTCCCAAAATAAAGGCAGCATAGGTATACGAATGTAAATAGCCACCGGAAGAACGACACGTGCGGTATTATTCTTTGTGGCATTCTATCAATATCCTTTTGAAGGTTTACTAGCACTTTTTTTCGTATGTGTTTGCGTTTTTAGGAATCCTCTCAAAGTCTGTGGTAGGATCGATGTCCCATGCAAATATAAATAAAACAAAATACATTATACTGACAAAAAACAAAACAGGAGTTTATGTTTGCGAAACGAGAATGGGATTCGAAAAGTGGAAATTTATGGTTAAACAGTGTGGAATGTTATATGGGAAACAAAAGGCTTCGCAAATTACAGATTGCATTTTATGTGTGTTACGCAGGGAAATAATCCAATTAGTCATCTGAAAATGGCCTGAAACAAATATGCGTCCCCCATTATTTCAGACTTTTTCACAATAATCAGTCAATTAACAAAGCAATTCCCTAGACAATTTTGACAAATTCACGAATAATTATTGTCCGGTATATTTAACTAACAATCAGACAACAAAATGTGTGATTTAATGGATATTGAAGAAGAATATTATTTTTATCCTTTTCAAAAAAATTCGTATCAGTGAAAAACTTCCACTTCATGATCCTCAGTTTTCTATTCAAGTACACTGCTATAAGTTTTCAGCAAATTTTTATTTCTCGAAAAGAATAATTTTCCCATTTAAAAACTAATAATTTTTCTTAATTTTTTTTTCTTGATGGATCAGTTGTCTGCAACATAAGTAGTTCCGAAATTTATTCTCTCTACACGTGTGACAAAAACTAGGAGCTGACCTCTTAGTGACAATTAGTAGATAATCTATTGCCATCACCCTTAGCATGCAAGGATAATTGGGGGTTGCCCGCATGAGGGTTAAAAGCTTCGATGCAGATGACTTAGGTTTGATCTATCTACCTTACTTCTCTTTACCAACTGCAAAGTTAAATTCATTTATTAATTAAGCAGTTATTTATGAAGAGAACCACATTTTCGTTGAGAATAAAGCATTTTAGATTCACTTTCTCTTTTCCAAGCTTAGTGTAATGTTATAATAATGCAACAGAGCATAAAAGTAGATAATAAACTCTTTGCTGCCATGAGCTCGTGATGATGTAATTTTATTAATGTTGAACCAAGTGTTGGTGAAGTATGATTCATTCGCAAGGATTTACGATCCTTTACTTACCTTCCAACAAACAAAGTATTATATTTAATTCCGAAATTTTTCTTTACTTTGCCAACGGGAATACATTACCTGTATTAAATCTAATACAAATAATAACACGCAAAAAAGATTAACCTTATATTTAATTACGCACGAGATTTTTCTTTTCAGCGTTAATATTGTAACGCTGCTAAAATATATGGAAATTAATCTTCTTGTTTCAGGAAAAAATTAATTAATCCGATAAAGTGATAATTAAATTACTCGTACTTAGTAATTAGTTGAAAAAAAACAACACCGACAAAATGAAGTTATGTGCTTCGTGAAACCATTTTACTTTGATGTCTATATAAAAAAAAAAAGATTTTACAATGAAAAGCAACAGATTATTGTGGTTGCGAGAATCATAATACGATATGGGGGATAAACCACTAAAGGGAAAAGTGATTAGAAGGAAGTGTACTAATACTCATTTCTTGTTACTCAAAACAAAAATGTATAACTTTATTTTTTAAATTCTTTAAAATAAAATTCAGCCTTTTAAACTATTAATAAGTACATGATATTCTTAACTTTATTTTAACCTCATCTTTATTACAGTGCCTCCTGCAAAAGTGGTGTGGGCAGTTCTAGGAAAGGACGTTGATTTACCATGCGATGTAACTCCTCCATATGACACCGACAACGTTACAACGATGTTTTGGTTTAAAGATTCGCACGGAATGCCAGTATACAGGTAAGCCGTTCGTGGACTTTTTCAGAAAGGGACTACCGAGGATCTGGTGAAATAAGCACCAAGTGTATGAGATTCATTGTCATCAACCTTCAATGGTATCATAAACTATTTGAATTGGTTGCAGAATTTCTGTCGGAATAAGGTCGGTAGTGATATGTCTGCCGGTTAATATTTTTTGAAAGAAAATATTGAGAGAGGAATCGTTTCCAAACCTACACATGTATGTTATGTCCGAAGACTCCATTATTAACATTTTATTCGACTTGGTTCCCGATGCACCGCATTTCGTCTTAGATCAATGAACCTTCTTCGCTTATGTTATCAACCCTGCCGAAGTGACCTCTAACCCTGAGGCTAACGCACTCGTTATCACTGGCCTACTTCTAGATGCAACGCACATTCGTCTTAGAGCAATGAACTTTCTTTGTTTTGTACTCCTTATCAACCCTCGACCCTTGGTTGACCTGTAATTCTGATGCAAGCTCTTACATCAGCCCATGTGCAGCTTATCTTCGCCAAAGGAGGTCAAACCTCAGTATATAAGGGAGAAGAACGAGCAGAAGATTCATTCAAGTATTCGACACTCAAGTATTCAACATTCGAGTCGTGATCTGCAGTCAAAAGTCTCACGTCATACCGTAACGCCGTTCCCGTCTTATCATAAAATATTTTACTTTTATATTTTGTCCGGACTTAGAAAAGTCTAACGTTATTTTATTATATTCGAACTTAGAATAGTTTCAAGTCTTGTAATCATCATTTAATAAAATAGAATAAAAAATTGTTAATTTTTATTCGTAACGACCATCAGGATCGTTAAAGTGGCGCAGTCGGTAACATTTGCAAAAATTTTGCAAGTCGCGAAAAATTCGCAAACTCGAATTTAAGCGAGAAACGAACCTATTCGACGTAATTCATCATCTGGAAGAAGCAGCGAGAAGATTCTTGAACACTATCCAGAAAGAAAGCGAAGAAAAGGCGAAATTGAAGAAAGAATTTTCGAAAATCCCGAAGAAAGAAGACTGGTATCTAGGGTTTTCATTTTCCGGATTCCAGGTTCAATGAAGAGCATCTATCTATTACTGTAAGTAGTCTTTGTCTCTTATTTTTGGTTTTTTGCAACATATTTCGTATTTTTGCATTTATTCGATTTACTCAAAAATTCCTTGTTATTCTTCAATTTTTCTCAATTTAAAGAAATAATTCTTGCCTTTCTTTATATTCAAGTTAATTTAAAAAAAAAAAGAAATGGCAGATTTTACTCTAAAGGATTTAAAGGAATTAATACCAACTTATGACGGAGAACAAGCAACTTTGTACGACTTTATTGAAGCGGTAAATTTTGCATTTGAAAATGTACAAGACGAGCACAGAAACGCACTACTTTTTGTTGTAAAAAGTAAATTAACCAGTACCGCGAGAAAATTTATTTCATCAAGGCAACTTAATAATTGGGAAGATATTAGACAACTATTAATAGGTCATTATGGTGACTGTAGAGATACCGAAGGGTTACTTCGTGATTTGACTTCTTGTTATCAAAACCCAAACGAACTTCCAAGAAATTTTGTGCAGCGTATTGAAGACCTTCTTACAAAAATTCGTAGCAGCGTCGCACTAAATAATGAATTAAATGATGCATCCCGAAACGCATTAAATGCATCACACGAAAAGATAGCTTTAAAAACATTTTTAGCCGGTCTATCCGAACCTCTTGGTAGTATTTTACGTTCACAAAAACCTAACTGTCTCGAACAAGCCGAACAATTTCTAATTGAAGAAGAAAATATCTCTTACTTAAAAACTTTTAGATCACTAAAACCATCACTACAAAAATCGGTAAATAATAAAATAGTACCTAAAGAAAATTATCACTCTTCTTCTGTAACAACTATAAAAGCTTGCTCGTACTGTAAGAAACCAGGACATATGATCGGATCTTGTTATAAACGTATACGAAATGAATTAAACCAACCAGAAACACGAAGTACGCAAAATAAAAATTTTAATGCAAATACTTTACAACAAAATAATTTCACTAACACAGAAAATTGTCGAGACTTGAATCAAAATAAAAAACGAGACTTTTATACAAATCAGCGAACAAATGAAAATAATCAGATTAATTATTTAAATCTTTCCAGTAATTCGATGTACAATAAATCTAAAGGTAAAAGTAAACCATCTAAAGTGCATCAAAGTCATAATGAAATTTTAAGTTGCAATATAATGAACAAAAATAGTTCAAAACTAATGTACATTGTAGATAACGATAACAAGACATATTTAGTCGATTCTGGAGCAGCATTATCAATAATGAGGTCAAGTTCTGTACCTAGTAACGTTTCAAGACTAAATGAAAATTTTAAAATTCAAGGAATTGCTCCAAAACCTATTCATATCACCAAAAGTTTTTATAAAAAATTCGATGAAACAAATACTGAGTTTAAAATGTACATCGCCGATTTCAAAATCGCATTTGACGCAATTTTAGGTTTAGATTTTCTCACCTCATACGATTGTGTCGTTGACTTTAAGAATAATGTTCTAAAAACTAATTTTAAAGATATTCCGTTATTAGTTTATTGTGAAACACAAACAAAGAAAAATGTTTTACATCACGAAAAACCTCGAAATTCGAGAAAAAGCTTTACTACCCAAAATAATAAAAATTCTGCGAATTATTTTAAGTCGCAAGTGCACAAACCTCGTTTTAACCAATATTTGAGATCAAATGGAAATTATACAAGTAACAAACGTTTTTCAAATCCATCTCAAGTTGTGGCACATACTACTGGTTGTAATTATAGAAGTTCAAATCATAAAGATTTTAAACCACAAAAATATAATAACTATTTCCACAGAAAGAATAATTTTAAGAATTTAACAGGAAATCCTTATAATGATTTTAAATCCAAAAGCGCTTACATGAATAAAAATCGTAACTTTTATTATAACGCTAATAATAGCTTCAATTCTGTTTCACCTATAAATGTACATTACATTACACGAAAGCAGAGTAATAATGATCAAAATAAGTTTATAAATCTCAGTCGCTCTCAGACTAAAAACCAATCGTTTAATAAACTTACTTATTTGAGATCAACGGAAAGTAATAATTACAGAAATAAAAAGAATAATTTTAATTTTACGAAAGATTTGTACCCAAATTATGCAACTGAAATAGACAACAGGTCTTATGAAACAAATTTTAGATCTAAACAATCGTTTCTAAATAGAAACTTATTTTCAAGCAACAATGTAAGAAAAGATCAACAGATTTATAACAAAAGCTCTTATTTAAACAAAGATAGATTTTGTTCTAATTTTTATTCAACGTATAATAGACATTTCAGTTTTCAAAAGGAAAATAAATTCCTAAGTGAAAGTACTAGCTTATATTAATTAAATATTAAAACATAATAAAAAAAAAAATAGAAAAAATAAATACACACAAAAGGTTTAAACAACGTTAATTATTATTTATCTATCATTATTTTTTTTGGTAAACATTTTTGTAATTAATAAAATTATAACTGTATTTAAATTTTAGTATTTACTTTCACGATTAATAATTTACAATTATACTTATTTGAAAAACTAAAATAATTATTAAAGTATTAAAATAAAAAGAAAAGCTTTGGGTATAGAAAGTATTGTTTGACGACAATATAATTAATCACATTGAAATGAAACTCGTTATTTCATAACTCTAAGAAGTGAAGCTAAGAGAACAAATTTACTTCCTTTTACTTTCGGGTAATTTACAATTAACAAAAAAAAAGTAAACAAATAACGTATACACAAAAGATCTTTTTTATAGCACTATAATAAATCATTAAAGTTACAGTTACCATTTCAAAATTTTAAATCATGAAGATTAAGAAAACTCTCGGAAGCTCTATTTAAATTCTAGTATTTACTTTTACTGTTATTGATTTACAATTATTTTTGAAAAATTGAAATATTTCTTAGAAGATTCAGAAAAAGAAAATGTTTGGGAAGGAAAATATGGAAAATATTACCTATGTATCATGTAAAGTTAAACTTGTCATTTTGTAAATCTACTTAACTAAAATAAGTTTAATTCCTTTTACTTTGAAGTAACTTACAATAAAAATTAAAAAAATCTTTATTTCCCAGAGTTAGTAAGTATAGAAAGGAAATAAAAACACAAAGGGATAATTTGTATAAAAAGAATATTGCTTGATGGAATTGCAATGCATCATTAATAAAATAATTTATTTTATTTCATTTCAAATTTATTGTATTTGAACTTGTAAGTAGTTTTAAATATTTTAAAGAATAATTTTCATAATATTGAGTTTGTAAAACAAGTGAAATAATTTTATTTACATTGAGAATTAGAAAAATCTTAAACTGAAACTACTCGTATAAAAAAATATATAATAAAAAAACTGATTAAAATAAAGCGTTATTAGTTATTTAATTATTTTTAAGTCAAGCATGTTTGCAACAGGACATTATCAATTATTTTTACAAGGTTTAAGAGAAATTTTATGTTTATGATAAAGCCTGAAACTTTGAACCGAATGGATAATTTGAAAGTAACTATCGATACTTTGGATGTTATACCTACAGTTTTATTAAGAATTATTCATAATAATTTTTGCTATTGCAAAAACCACCACTGGTTTTCTTTCATTACACCAACAAATGTTCAGAATAATGAACGATAATTGAAAATTAATTTAAACTTGCTTGTTTTAGCGTTTTAAGAAAACGAAAATATTTTATCAATTTTACACGGTTTAGATGCAATTTGGAAAACAATTAAACGGAATCTTGATCCTGCAATTTGAGGATATATTGATTAATTGATAAACAAATAAGAAAGGGTCGATCGCGAAACCTTATATTTAAGAAATCAAATACAAGCAGCCACTTCGAGTATTAGTAAATTTAACTATACTGTCTAAAAGTTGCGAATTGATGAACGAACCTTTAAAACAAAAAAAAAAAAAAATGTCCAAAAGGAA